TCGAGTCCTCGCGTCTCACCAGGTTGCTCCGTCCCCCCAGGTAGCTGTGTCTTGTCAGGTTCCTCCGTCTAGTCCGGTCGCTGCGTCGTGCTCCTGTCGGTCGCTTGCCCACCCCACCGTTTTGTGGCACCACCGGCTGGGGCACCCTTCTCCTCCTCGTCTTCGCGCTATGTCTCGTCAGCGTCTTGTCTTAGGTCTCCCGCGTGTCTTGCCGTCGCTGCCGCCGTCCCTTGCGCCACCGTGCGGTCCTTGCGTCGAGGGTAGGCTGCGCGCCACCCCTCACTCCTCCTCCCTTCGTCCGGCCACCGAGCCTTTTGAGACGCTGCACTTGGACGTCTGGGGCCCCTCTCCTCGCCCTGGCCCTGAGCGTGAGCGTTTCTTTTTGGTGGTCGTTGACGACTACTCCCGCTACACCACAGTGTTCCCCCTGGCGAGGAAGTCTGAGGTGACTTCTACGCTGATCAGGTGGTTGCTTACCACCCAGGACACTCGTGGTCGTCGTGTCAGCTGTCTCCACTCCGACCGCGGGGGCGAGTTTCGCTCCGGCATTCTCGCTGGATTCTGTCGCGAACAGGGCATTCGTCAGTCCTGGACGCTTCCGGAGTCCCCACAGCAGAATGGGGTTGCTGAGCGTCGCATAGGCCTGGTCATGGAGATTGCCCGCACCTCCTTGACTCACGCCCGTGCCCCCCATTTCCTGTGGCCATACGCGGTCAGGTACGCCGCGCACCAGCTGAACCTCTGGCCACGCGTCTCTCGGCCGGAGGCTTCACCGACCAGTCTTTGGACAGGGTCCCCTGGTGTCGCGTCGAGGTTTCGTGTCTGGGGGTGCTTGGCTCTTGTCCGCGACACCTCCGCGGACAAGCTCTCGCCTCGCGCCGTTCCTTGTGTCTTCCTTGGTTTCCCTGAGGACTCCTCTGACTTCACCTTTTACCACCCTCCCTCTCACCGGTTCTTTGACTCCCGTGACGTCCGTTTCGAGGAGTCCACCCCCTACTACGTCAGGTACCCCAGTCGAGGTCTCCCGGTCCCTCCCCCCCCTCTCTTCCTGACCGCCGCTCCCCCGCCTGCTCCCCCGGTACAGCCTCCCCCCCCTGGTCCAGCCCCGTCTGGTGTGTCTCAGGCTAGCCCTCCCCCTTCGGTAGCCCCCCCTGTACAGCCTCCCTCCCCACAGTCTTCCTCGCCGCCTCCTGCAGGTGCTCCCTCTCGGGAGGTTGGTCCTGCGACTGTCCCTGTACAGGTCTCTGGTTCTGGGGGTGCTGGAGTTGGAGCTGAGCCGCGGGTTGCAGAGGACTCTTGTCTTCCGGGGGCTGGTACTGGTCGTGCGGAGTCTGGGGGTGCTGGTGCGGAGTCTGGGGGTGCTGCGTCTGGGGGTGAGGGTGTCCCTTCGGTTTCTGGAGAGCCTGGGTCTGGAGCTGGTGTTAGTGCTGCCTCTGGGGGTGGTGTGCTTGGTGCTTCGGAGGTCGACTCTGGGGCTGCCGCTGCCCCGGACACTACTCCTTCCCCCCACCCCTATCCGACCAGGTTCCAGGCTCGTGTTCGCCGTGCTCGTGAGGAGCAGCTGGAGTTGGAGAGAGAGGAGAGAGAGTTGCAGCGGCTCGAGGAGCAGGAGCGACAGCAGCAGGAGCAGCAGCAGGAGCAGCAGCAGGGGCAGCAGCCGCTGGAGCAGCAGCAGCCGCAGCAGCCGCAGCAGCAGCAGCTGCCGTCTCCTCCTCCTGTCTCGGGTCTTCGGACCCTTGGTCTCCCCTCTCCCTCTCCTTCCTCCTCCCCCTCTCCTCCTGTCTCTGGTCCTCCGCTTCCTCCTCCTGACCCCTCTCCCGCTGTTTTCCCTCGTTCTCAGTCTTCGTTGTCTCCTCCTCCTTCTCAGACTTGGGCCTCTCGTCGCTCCCCTCGTGCTCGTCCCTCGTCTCCTGTTCCCTTCACTGACCTTCGTACAGCCTTCCTTTGTTCTCGTCCACCTCGTCCGTCTCCGTCTGTGCTTCCGTCTCCTCCTGAGTCGGCCCTCACTGTGTCGCTTCCTTCTCCTGTCACTGACTACTACCGCACGTACCGTCCTGTTCTCTCTCGTGTTCTCGCCTCTCTTGTTACCCACCCTCGTGCCTCTGTGTCCTCTGTGTCCGCTCTTACTGCCGCAGTCACTGAGTTTGCCTCTACCCGCCGCCTTGACTTCGCCACCGCTCTTGTGGCTGCTCCTCCTTCCAGTCCTCTGGCCGTCGGGGGTGTGTCTGCCCTTGGCTGTGACGCCCTAGAGGACAGGCAGTTTGAGCTAGAGTTCCTGGCGGCCGCTTCCCCTCATCTCTGTGCCATGCTCCTCGCCCCTGAGGGTGACCCCGACGCCCTTGACATTCCGACTCCTCGCACTTACGCTGAGGCAGTGTCAGGGCCTTGGGCCTCTCAGTGGAGAGCTGCCATGGACGCAGAGATGGCCTCCTACAGATCCACAGGCACCTACGTCGATGAGGTTCCCCCTCCGGGGGCGAACGTAGTCGACGGCATGTGGATCTACAGGGTGAAGCGGCCACCGGGATCTCCTCCGGTCTTCAAGGCGCGCTACGTGGCTAGAGGCTTCAGTCAGCGCGAGGGAGTTGACTTCTTTCAGACCTTCGCGCCCACCCCGAAGATGACCACTCTTCGGGTGTTACTACACGTAGCAGCACAGAGAGACTACGAGTTACACTCTCTCGACTTCTCTACTGCTTTTCTTCAGGGCAGTCTTCACGAGGAGGTCTGGTTGCGTCGTCCCTCTGCCTTCACTGGCTCTTTCCCTCCTGGGACCCAGTGGAGGCTGAGGCGACCGGTTTACGGTCTTCGTCAGGCTCCTCGTGAGTGGCACGACACCCTGCGTTCTACCCTGTCTGACCTTGGGTTCCAGCCGTCTTCTGCTGACCCGTCGCTGTTCGTTCGTCGTGGCCCCACACCTTTCTTTGTTCTGGTCTACGTTGACGACCTTGTTTTCGCCACCCCTGACAGGGTTGCTTTGGCACACGTGAAGTCCGAACTGCAGAAGAGACACACCTGCACTGATCTTGGTGAGCTGCGCCACTACCTTGGCCTGCAGATCACCAGGGACAGAGCTGCTCGCACCATTACACTTTCACAGTCACACATGGTGCAGCAGGTCCTTCTGCGCTTCGGGCTTCAGCACTCCACAGTACAGCGCACACCTCTTGCTGTTGACCACAGACTCACTGGACCCTTTCCTGACGAGCCGTTCGAGCCTAGTGGTCCCTACGCAGAGCTTGTGGGTTGCCTCATGTACCTGATGACTTGTACTCGCCCGGACCTCGCCTTCCCTCTCAGCGTTCTTGCGCGCTTTGTTGCGCCAGGGAGACACCGTCCTGTTCACTGGACAGCAGCTGTGAGGGTGGCGAAGTACCTAGCGACGACATCAGGCGTGGGGCTAGTTCTTGGAGGGCAGCAGTCTGTCGTACTTACTGGTCACTGTGACTCCTCTTACGCTGACGACGCTGAGACTCACAGGTCTACTCAGGGGTACTGTTTCAGCCTGGGTTCTGGAGCTGTTTCCTGGCGGTCCACGCGCTCCTCTTCGGTCTCGACCTCTACAGCTGAGGCTGAGATCTACGCTGGTGCCATGGCGGCACAGGAGCTGCGTTGGTTGACCTTCTTGCTCACCGACCTTGGTGAGCGGCCGAGCTCTGCACCGACCTTGTTCACTGACAACAAGGCGTCTATTCTCCTTTGTCGAGAGCCACGACTGGAGAGCAGAGTGAAGCACATTCACGTCAGGTACTTTCTTCTGCGAGAGTTGCAGAGGCGTGGACAGGCTCGCTTTGAGTTTGTGGAGTCCGAGGCCAACACTGCAGACATCTTCACCAAGGCGCTTCCGCCTTGTGACCACCAGAGGTGCTGTGTGCAGTTAGGCCTTGTTGACACTGGTTCTCGTGTTGCTTAGACTTGAGTGTACTGTTTACTTTGCTTTCTATATATCTCTGTTACTTCTTGGACTGGCCTTGTGGCCACTGTTGTTTGTGCTCAGACTGTGTGGTGACGTTGTGATCCACCCTGAGCTTCGTTTCTTGGACTGGTCTTGTGACCGTACTCGTTTGGTTCTGCTAGACACCCCTCACTTAGGCTATGGGGGTGTGTCAAATGTTGTAGCCTATAGTGAGGTTTGTCTTAGGGGGTACAAAACTTAGGGTTAGCTATATGTACCCCAACCAACAACAATGCATCATCCATTTCTCATTTTGACATCGCCATGTACCTCATGCGCCCCGTCGACGCGGGCTCCGTCGAGTTCGACCACGAGGAGGCGCGCATCGTGTATTGAGAGAACCGCGAAAAGCTTTCTTCCTGGTTCAGCTAGCCGCTGCCTCTTGTAAATTTTTTTTCCTTGAATAAAGGTCTTTCGTATTCTGTACTGTTTCGTGACTAATTTCAGAACACTTTGATACCTTTTGCAAGCCGCTGTATTGTAATGCAATATTTCATTAGTGCCATGCGGTTGCCCCTTCCCTGCTTGTTCTTCAATTTTCATGCGCATGATCTGTATTTCCCCTTCCCTACTTTCTCTCCTTGCAATTCAGTCGTGCCCCTGAATTCATGGATTTCTCCGAGCTCCGAAATTGTTCAAGAAGTCGATGTGAACAGATAACTTGACGCGCAGTGAAAGCATTTTGTCATGTGAACTGCTACCTATGCCCACTAACACGCCCCAATGTTTGCTCAAGAACTATGAGGGAGAATAACTTGTTTTTCGTCTAAACAGGCTCTTGACGCCAAGGAAACAAGCAAGGTACTGCCTTCATGCAAAGCTTTGATACAAACATCCACTCTGCTATACAACATCACGTCTACGGACACGCCCTCTTGAAAGACCCTTCAACCAGATCTACCTACAAACTGCACTCCTGCATGAAGTCGGGTGATTTCACGAACCACACTTCCCTATCACCTTGTAGGAACCAAGATGCAAAGATTAGACAAGAATGTTCTATCTTGTTCTTGTTCTTCCACCAGGAAGCTTGTGATGCACATTTCTAAATTCCCCGCCTTATAAGATATCTTCCAGCCGTCCTCCCAAAACCTTTGTCTGCGCCAGGAGGACCACAAGAGAGCCAGAACATAAGTACCCAGGAACACAAAATCAGGGTGAGTTGACCTGTTTGTTTGCTTAAATTAGAGATGACTGCATTCTTGGCGTCTAGGACGTACCTTTTGGATTGTTGCAATCCGCAATCCACTGGTTGAGCTTCTTCTGGCAAAGGCTCGCCGGTTCTTGCGTCTGTTTCGAGCAGTACCCGTCTATGTTCTTCAGACTCTCGACCTCAATGCACGTCTTCCCTGCCAGCCCGAAAATTCGGAGAGGAAGAACATCAAACGCACGAGGGGGAGGGTAGGAGGTGGGCGACGCGCTTAGAACCAACAACTTAGTAACGCCTGCAGCTACCACGTGGTGGGAGTTCCATCCGTTTCTTGTTTCGGCCTTCACAGCCAGCATGAGAGGAGTTCGTCGGTATCTCGCGATGCGCGTCACCTATTGCCAATCAAATATGGGAGGGGCAAAAGGAAATTTACCACCTTCTACACAAGGAAACCTTGAGGATATCCCCCGGTGGGATTCCTCGAGGATCTTGACAATGTGTGACTGTACGTTAGGTGAATATTGCGAAGGTACTCCGCGTTCGTCCCGCCATGTTAGCATCATTCCTTTAAGAAGAATCCGCACACTCGCTTCCGCGCTAATGACCTGTTGCCCGCGCAGATTCGTTGTTACACCCGTAAGACCCAGTGCTTCTGTGACTTACCATCGGCAAGATACCGAACAACTCGATAAGCAGCGGTGGGAGCGAACGATGAGAGAGTGACGGTGACGGCAAGCAGGAGAGCGAGAGCCGTAAGCAGGCTGAAACGCGCCATAGTTACTAGCTGACGAGGCCTGGCTGAGACTGGCGGGTTGGAAAAGAGTGAACGAGGAGCTATGATGCGCGGGTGGGACTGGTTTTGGGAGGAACCCAGGTGGGTATTTATGGTCCGAAAGGAGGTTGCTGAAGCGACCGTAGCACACACAAGGCGCAGCCACCATAGCGATTTCACAGGAAGTTGGTTACGCGTTCCAAGCATAATTCATTTGGATTAGACGATTGACTCTGAAGTAGATGTTCAGTGGTGTAGTGTGGTCAATTACAAACACAGAGACTTCAAGTGCGGTAAATCAGTATCACAAAATTGATCTCTAAGGGGACGGGAGAATGTGACGCGTCACGCCTCTGGGGGCATACGGGTACATTTCTGTTCCACCCGGACTGCCCGATGAAAACCTCCATTTCCTTTTCCAGCGATGTGGTGTGGAGGGAAACAAGTGCGGGTACAGTAAGAGGGTGCGACATCAGTCACAAGCTCGTTACTGATTGATACAGAGCACAATTCGCCTTTACAGCACCCCAGCCGGGCTACTTGATCTTCTACACTCGTGAGTGACAGCCAGTCCGTGCACATCACCCAGAAAAATACTTTGGCTCTAGGATTGTATGCCGTGGCAACTGTGGTATCTGCCGTGAGTTGCGGTATCCAAATCAGTGATTTATATGAACTACATGCTGAACAACAGCATCACCACGTATACCTATATAAATTCAATAACAGTTCAGGGTGATATCAATTATTTCACCATAATTGTCACCCTTACAACTTTAAGTGAATTTCCAGAACTTCATCCCGGTCTTCTATCTGGGAAAATAAGGTGTGCATATAAATTCACTTTAAAATATTTGTCCATATCATGTAAGATTAAATTTTTATAAAAATTATAATTTTTAAAAAGTGTTACACTTTTTCAAATTTCGTATTGTGAAAGCGAGGACGTGGCCAACGCAGCAAAGGTAGCGGCTCGACGATACTCACCTCTCTTTTGCCTACAAAAGAGGAACGTGTTTTTAGTAGCTCCACCCACGTTTGGAATGAAGCACGCTGCCTTTGCAAGATGGACTAAGCAAGCTTTCACAATATCCTATACGGCAAAAGGCATGCAAGACACGTGGTGGGGGGCAGGAGTGGTAAGAGAGGATTTTGGACCTGGGAATCAGTAGGGTAGAGATGCACTTGTCTGTGATGGGTTAGAGTGATAGGGCAGGGACAGGAGAGCTGGATGGTGGCGGTGAGGGGAAAAGAGGATTGGTTAGAGGTACCGTATGTGGGGATGGGATGGGATGGGATGGGATGGGATGGAATGGGATGGGAGAGGAGGGGATCGGATGGAAAAAAAGGGGTTTGATGCAACAGGGCAGTTGTGATCGAAGGCAAGGAATCAAGCAATGCTAAAGTGGGCAAGCAAAGCAAACGGATGGAGGGAAGGGAGGGTTAGCAACGACAGGAGCAAAGGGGAGGCAGAAGCAGGACCAAAAAAAGCTTACGGTAAGTGAAATGTGTCAGAACTAGCTGTAGAAAGTAAGAATGAAGAAAGGAGGGTTTGCACTAGCAGCAGTTGGCATACATATAGGAAACCCTAATTGGGTTGTACTCGCTATAGAGTACCCCACTGCAGGCTAGAGCATAATATTCTGACACACCCCCATAGCCAAAGTGGGGTGTAATCAGCAGAGAAAGCAAAGCAGTACAAGCTCAGGGTGGATCACAATGTCACCACACATTCTGAGCACAAGTTTAAGAAGCAATAGTTTAAAGTGCACAATTATGAGCAAAGCTAGAGGCAGTTACAGAGGGCAAGTGAGGAGGAGGAGGGCTGGCGAGAGGAGAGAAGAGTGGAGGCGACGACTGAAGCTGCAGACACACGGGCAACAGACGGCTCTGGTGCAACTCTAGTGGCTACCGGGAGCAAGGGCCCCGGAATACAGGAGTAACAGGCTCTGCGTCTGATCAGCAGCGACAGGAGCAACGGACCCACGGGCGACAGGTGCAACCGGCTCTCTGAGCTACCGGTGGCTATCAGAACCCCGGAATACAGGCGCTGCAGACGACACGACGGCTGCCTCCACCCAACCTCCTCCAACTGTCCCACACCCCCCAACACACACCCCCTGCTGAAACCCTAGCTCCACTCCCATGGCACCCCCCTTAAACCCTAAACCCTCGGCTCCCACACACCCACCCCCCTGAGCAGCAGCTGCAGCAGTGGGAGACGGAGGAGGAGGAGGAGCAGGGGACGGCTGACAGAGACGGCACCCCCATACGCTCCACCCCCAAACCCTAATTCAGGAGTACGGGCAGCAGCAGGGGTGGGGCGCCGTCAGAAGCGCGAGGGACGGCGTGCAGCTCAGTGGGAGAGGAGACCGGGCGCCCGCGGGCCAGGCGCAGCCCGTACGAACCGCGCGCAGGCGGCCCGAGGCGCGCGCGGGCCAGGCGCAGCCCGTACGGGCCGCGCGCGGGCCTGGCGCAGGCCGTACGGGCCGCGCGCGGGCCTGGCGCAGCCCGTACGAGCAGCGCGCGGGTTGTACGGGCCGCGCGCGGGCCTGGCGCAGCCCGTACGGGCCGCGCGCGTGCAGAACAGGCCGCGCGCGGGCCTGGCGCAGCCTGTACGGGCCGCGCTCGTGCAGTACGGGCCGCGCACGGGCGACGGGGGCGACGCGCGGGTCCCCGGGGGCGCTTCGGCGGGCGACGGGGGGAGAAAACCGCCGCGCGCCTCGGGGCGCACGGCGGGCAGAGAACCGCCGCGCGCCTCGGGGCGCACGGCGGGCAGAAAACCGCCGCACACCTCGGGGCGCACGGCGGGATGAAAAATCCGTCGCACGCCACGAGGCGTGCGACACACAGAGTAGCAGTAGCAGTAGCAGTAGCAGTAGCAGCGGAAGGCTTAGGTGGTGGGCCCACCCACAGGATCGACCCAGGAGGGTCGACCTGCTCTGATAGCATGTCAGAACTAGCTGTAGAAAGTAAGAATGAAGAAAGGAGGGTTTGCACTAGCAGCAGTTGGCATACATATAGGAAACCCTAATTGGGTTGTACTCGCTATAGAGTACCCCACTGCAGGCTAGAGCATAATATTCTAACAAAATGTTTCGTCTCAGGACCACGAGAGAGGCAGGGGCCAAGGATGGAAACTGTTGGGCTGAGATAGCCCCTTAGGATCTTTCAAGGGAGAACTCTGGATGGATAGTGTTGTAATAGCGGAAGCGTTTAACAAAAGTTTGTGAACCACCTTGCGCTGGTATGTGAGGGCAAAGTAGATTGATTATAGCAAGGAAGTACAAGATTATATAATAATACAAGGAATATGAAAGGATGCAGTTTGTAACTACTTTACTGTTGCTGTTGCGGTTCGATACAGTACGACTCGGGCAACTGCTCTGTAACGAGTCAGTTGTGTGTCCTTAACTGTCGCGCTGTATTTGTCAGGTCAAAGGTCGCTTGACCTTTGACTTTCGCGTAACCTCCAGCAACCTCTTTTAACCTCCGAGGGTTGACTCGCGGGTGCTTCGACATGGCGTGCTTCGCTTCTGGTGTGGTGTTTCGACACGACAGAGGCGTTTACAATTTATTGTTTCCAACACTCCCCTTCGCTTCTGGAGTGTCGCTCTTGATGACGTGGCTTTGTCCAGTCAGCAACACGCAGTACTCGAATTTCTGCTTTCCGAGTTTCTTGGTCAAATAATCGGCTGCCATCTCGGACGTGGGACAGTATGACAGCTGAAGTCTCCCCTTCTCGATCTCGTCCTTCACGAAGAAGTAACGCAGGGTGATTTGTTTCGTCCTGTTCGCGAAGCCGTTCTTGTTGGCGATGCGAATTGCAGACTGGTTGTCGCAGAACAGGGTGAAGTTAGGTAACTCAGCTAACTTTGCTTCTTCCAGCAGCTCGCGAAGATAAAGGCCTTCCTTGGTGGCTGAGCAGAGTGCGATATATTCTGCCTCAGCTGATGATAACGCGATTAACTCCTTTTTGCTCGACTGCCAGGAGATAGGTCCGATAGGTTCGAGGCGGTAGACGTAGCCGGTACGTGAGCGCCTGTTGTCGGAGTCGCCGGCGTGATCGGCGTCGACATAGCCGATTAGCTTAGTTGGTGTAGCTGCGTTCTTGTGGTAGGTTAGGCCGATCGTCGCGGTGCTGATGAAGTAGTGAAGAGCGCGGTCAAGTTCCGCCAGATGTTCTGCTTCAGGCCTCTTGAGGTAGGTGGCGAGTTGACTTGCGGAGTATGAGAGGTCGGGACGGCAAGTGACGGCTGCGAAGAGGAGGCATCCGAGCTTCCTCTGATAGTCGCGTATGCCGGCTGGTTTGAGTAGAGTGGATCGTCCCTTCTCGGTTCCTGTCGTGTAGCGGTATGGCGTGGAGATGGCGGCTGGTGTGAGAGCGAAGCGTTTGGCGATGGTGTCGGCATATTTCGCGGCGTTGAGGTAGATCGCATCTTCTTCTTCTCGGATGTTGAGGCCGAGGTACTGTGTGACGGTAGACGAGACCGTGAGCGTGAGGTCTTTCTGCAGCTCCCCTTCGAACCAGGAGGTGACGTTGTCTGTCGAGCCGATGTAGAGTAAATCGTCTACGTAGACGATTAGGAGGATGTAGTCTGTACCCTTCGTGAGCCGATACATTCCCTGATCGTGCGGTAGCTGCTTGAAGCCGATGCGAACGAGTCGGGCGTGCAGGTACTGTTGCCACAGTCGTGGGGCTTGTTTGATGCCGTAGAGCGATTTGAGTAGTTGACAGACGTGTGTGGAGTCCGTGCTGGAGCCGTGTGGTAGCTCCACGAAGATTTCTGCGTCAACAGGTGCGTAGAGAAAGGCGTTTGCGACGTCGATTTGTCGTAGCTTTTTCTTCTTCATGGCGGCGATCGCGAGGAGAATGCGTAGTGAGGTGTGTCGGCTGACCGGAGCAAAGGTTTCGGTGAAGTCGCGTCCGTGCTCTTGGTCGAAGCCGCGTACGACCCAGCGCGCCTTGAATTTGTCGATGGTGCCATCTGCTTTCGTCTTCACGCGGAAGACCCATTTTCCGGTGAGAATGGTCTTGTTTCGTGCTACGCCGATAGGAACGATTTTCCAGGTGTTGCGTTCTTCTAGCGCTTTCAGCTCCTTGTCCATGGCTTCACGCCATTTTTCCCTGTGTTCCCCCCCCAGAGCCTGCTGAATCGTTGCAGGCTCTTTAGGAATGGCGGCGCCGTGGACTGCGGTGACGAGCC